GCTCTTACACGTGCTATCCCCCACCAGAGCTTCTGCTTTCGCCTCCTCTTGTCGTAGTAGAGGCAACTTACTCCTTTCCCACTGCTGTACAGATTGCTTATCTGAAGCACTCACGCAGTGTGGGAAAATGTGCACATGGTCAAAATTCTGAGGAAAAGTTGGGAAATTCTCACTCATCATTTCTGAGCACTTCTAACCGAATTCGCGTGGTAAACTTCTATAATATGCGAGTAAGAACTCCTGAGGAGCCTTTTATAGCACTCATCATCATCAACAAGAACCACTGTTTTCTCTCACCGTTTTCCTGCTTCTCTGCTACTTCCAAGGAGGCTTTACTCGGTTGCTCCACTATTGGGACCTACACTATTGCTCACCTCGTCGTGCTTGGAGTCCTCCCTCACCTGTCCACCATGAAGAAGTATCAATCCTACTCCTGGAACCCTCCGTATACGCTCTCTCAAGGCCTTGTCTTGAGTGCCTGCCAAACGTCATCACCAGGGATCGAACCCACGACCTTTCCCTCATCAACTTACACACTAAATATTGTTTCGGGTTGTTCGATCCTAACTGTTTCACAATACAATCTGCTGCTGAGCATCTGATAACGACAGCGGAGCGAAGCAGATGCACATTTTGTTTTTTTCAACTTGCTACTCTCCTTTCGAGTGACCGCATTTGAGTCGGTAATAACCCCGAGCAATAATGGCACTTCCAGAAAAGTCAGCGCCCAAATCTCGAAGCTCTTGATAGACCTGATCCATATTTTGCACGCATGCACAAAGATACTCGCACGTACACATTCCGTCACAACCGGAGTTGTCCGGCCTCCCAAGAGTTTTGGCAGTTGCTCTTTAATATGAACCTTCGACTTCAACGCGGCGTTTATGAAGGTGCCGTCGATGAGCGCCCTGTACGGCTCTTGGAAGCCGAACACGGTTTGGTAGAAACGCATAACTTTACGATGAGATTTCTGTCTTCTGATCTTCATGGTGAACTAAAAGATACTAATAAGAACATACACGAGGAACAGTGTCAATACAACACATAAGATAGGTAGAAATTATGCATTAATAACGACGGCGCTGGGATTCGAACCTGCGACCTCTTGCATAATCATACAGAATTTAAAGGGAGCTCTCCTTCAGCCAGTTCTTCGAACTTCCCCACACCAGAATTAAACGTTGCATGGGCGACTGCTAACACACCCGACAGGCACAAAACCGTTACGATGAGGCCGCCAGCTAAGATCAGGACCTGCACGCATGCACATAAGCTATCACGATGGAGCGTAAAGTCCCCCACCAGAGCTCCCGAGACGAGAGCCATCGCCAACATCCGCTGTGTTCGAGTCGTAACGATTCCACCGATTCGAGGGCTCCAATTCGGATCCGAGTTTTTGTTCAAGAATGCCATCCAAGCAGTTACCAGGACCACACAGAGAAGGAGGGCGGATGGTGTCGTCAATACCCCTATGAAAAAGATATCTTGAGGTTCTCCAAGTAAGATACAAAACAGGTCCGAATCCGTCCCTGGTCTTACATAACAAGAGTAACACGACCGCACATACTCCATAATTCCCCTGGAAGTAAAACAAATTCTTGGAAATTCTTTGGGACGCCTCTCCTGCCGACCGAGGCTTCGTAAACACGATGAACTCCCTCCATGGTTTCACTACTGACACCTGTACACAACTTTTACACGCTCAAATCAACTGGGCAAAACCTCAAGGTGCTTCAGAAATATTCTACGAATATGTGGATATCCCTGAGTGCATACATTAGAGTAGCCGTGAACTGGGAGTCTGGGGCCTTGCTAGGTTAGTGATATTCAAAGATTATGGTGAAACTTCTCCTTTTTGATGAATTGTGAGTTCCACACTATGTCTGCTGAGAATGTGTGAAGGGTTACCACTCCTGCATAGAAAATTGTGGAACAAGCACCCGAGAGTAAGGACCCAACGATCTAATTCGAACTCGCCAACACTCGCATCGCAGTTAATACTCAGTCTAGGGACAGCGATATGCTACTCTACTAAAACGGAATGTACTGAGTGCAGACACCTACCGAGCCTGTAATGCGTGATAGCATAGGTATGGCCAACGCCCTGAGCTCCTCCAGTTTACTCGAGGGCTCCTTGACAGCATCTAACTGCCCACCATCGAGAGAAGAAGGAGGAGTAGAAACCGAGGATGACGAATCCATAACAAAAGCCAATAGTAACTAACATACGTTCGACAGATGAACTCTCTAGACTGGCCTTAAGAACAGAAACGCGTAACTTCGCCCAAAGCATGCAGTT